AAAATAATATTTATTAATAAACGAAGTACAAGAGTATCACAAATCCATAAACATCATAACTTGAAAAGCGTCATATTACATGAGTGGAATAATCCTTCCATATGGTGTCAACCCCTGAATTATGTGTAAATACTATGACCGTATCGGAGTTTTGGATGCTTACAATATGGTATCGACATCAGAATTATGTGTCGACACTATACCCGTGTCGGATCTCTATCCTCTTTTGTAGTCACTGTCACGCCCCAAAACTAGGAGTAAAACAGATGTTGTGCACTCGTGAACAGATCCCACAAATGCACAAGACTTGGAAGTTACTGTGTTCATAATTACCAATTTACATAACTTAAATAAAAAAACTCGATTAATAACTAGCTTTCAATTACCAAAAATTTGCTAGTCCGGATGTATAAAAATTTATAAAATAGTCATGGCTATACCAAGGAAACTCAGTATACAAAAAAATGATTTATCAGTTCACATCTATGTCAAACATGTGTGGCTAACGGCCTAAGTCTAAAAAGGATCTAAGTCCAAAAAACTGACTAGCCGTTTAGCTCGTCACTCCTCCTGGTTAACCATGCCTTGGGTCTCACTACCTGAAATGGTGGACAAGGAAAACTATGAGATAAAATATCTCAGTAAGTAAAAATATGGATAGCCCACTAGTAAAATTTAAGCATGCCTGATAAACAAGGTAAACATAACAGAACGTTCAATGATAAACCATTCCTGCATAATAAAATTCAATAATAGTTTCATCTATAAGTCATGGCCAGTGTTTAACAAACTCCAACTGGTAGGCGTCAATAATAACTAGTGTTTAACAACTCTCATTGGTAGGCATCAGTAATAACCAGTGTTCAACAAACTCCCATTGGCAGGCGCCAGTAATAACCAATGTATTGTCCCATTGGTAGGATTACAGAATGAACTGGTCCTATCGGTAAACATGTCGACATGTGCTAACGTTTGCAAACTCCCACTAGTGGGCATCAGTAATCAGTAATCATGACTATATCATAGACAAAACCATGCAGGATTTACAGGAAAAATCCATAATTCACAATCAATCTCAAATTCAAAGAATAAACCGAAAAAATTACATTTGGGCATGGATTTAATAAAAAAATCATAATTTACAAAAATTCTCAAATCATCAGAGTAGTTAAGTAAATTCCAAGCAAGCATGTTCTACTCAATGAAAATGATAATAATTCCATTTCAAACCAATGATGCTTGATGCTAATAAAATCAATTTAAACCTTGCCACCATCTCAAAAACAATTTAAAATATGCTTTTACTTTGAAATCAAAGGGCGTTACCATAATTTACTTACCTCAGTCACATAACACATAAAATTCACTCCAAATGCTGGGGTGACAGAACAATCAAGAACCTAACCAAAATATTCTAGAATTAATAACCATATGACCGGATATCCCAATTTTATTCTCAGTATAAACTAAGCATTTAAACCCTCCTATTGTGGGCCATTAGTGTGTGAACAGTAATCTATGAACAGTAATTATGCAGTGAACAGTAACTGCAACTTCTAGAAATTGGTAAAACAACAGCTAATTTCATGGGATTTTTCTCCAAAACCTCACAGTAGCTAATTAACACTCAATTACATAAATTCTATTTGAATTAATGTTTAAATTGTCCTAATTGCTACTGGAATTCCTGCCCCTTTTCAATAAAAATTCTAACAGCACAGGGCAATAATCAACTAGACTAAATTCAGCAACTAACAATAATTTGGACTTAGACAAAGCTATCACATAGTAGAATTTAGCAAGCAAAACCGGAGCTGGCGAGTTTGTGGGAGAGTCGACGGGAAGTGCAGAAAATTTTGGGGATTTATCGAAAATTGGAAAAACCAAAAGAAATTAGAGTAAACCCAAACCAATTCAAGGAAGAACAGAGAAATTGGTGGCTGCTTCCCTTTACCAGAAACTAGAGAAAATCACCCCCACACAGCAGAGCAACGGGCAGAAGGAATAGGGCAGAGCAGATCTGGAAATTTCTGCAAAGGGGGAAGATTTCAAGGCTCCAAATCTTGTTCTTGAACAAGAAAAGGAAGGAAAAAATCAAGTTTTTTTTACCAGTTCTCAAGGGAGGTGCAATTGGTGGCTGGGGCTCTTTGCCGGCTGCAGGGGAGAAGAAGAAGAGCAGGACACACGGATAAGGAAGAAGAAAGAAAGAAAAAAAATCAGCCATCCTTATCTTAATTTCTTTCCTCTTTTAAGTCCCTCAAGCTTAGAAATTTTTGCCATTAATCTCAACAATATTATTTCCTCACAATTAAGCCCCTAACTAAATGCTAAATATCAGAAAATTTGGGATATTACATTCACCCCTCCTAAAAAGGAGTTTTGTCCCCAAAACTCAAATCTAGGATCATTTCGAGTGGTGAATGGCTTCACACAATCTAAGATAAAACAAATGCCTCACCAACTCTTTATGAACAAAACATAGCCTACTACGCTTTCGTTGTGCCACTATGATATCAAACCACAACTAATCATAAAAGCAGAACATTAACTACTTAACAGGATTTACCATGAAACAAGCTACTGGAGGCTGAGGTGATATGGGAAGCACAAGGAATAGAAATAAATCCTGCCAAAGCCACAAAAAAACAATTGTGGGGTTACGCTATGAACCCAACACAAAGATGAGTTGGCAAAGAATGGCATGGATTTAAAGACGAGTACAACAAAATTTTGAACTCTATCAAAGACGGATAAGCATCCAATGGATGTACGCATCATGAATGAATGAATGAGTGCATGGATGCCTTATACGTTCTGCCACAAAACAAGGTTAACCAATAAGTAAAATCGTGTTTAACAAAACAACTGGAATTAAGAGACAGATTTTAGCAATTAACAAGGGTTAAAAGCTAGACCTATCAAATGACATGTGAAATTTCCAGAATAGCATCAGAATTAAATCAGTGGAAAATATGAATGCTTGGAAGAATATTGGAACATAAGAGTGCAAGGTAGAATGCCTCAAAAATTTCAGTAACAAAATGACATTCACCAAGAATCAAGATCAAATCTAACCAAGCAGTCAAAATTGAGAGACAAGAGTTAACCATGAAACAAAAAATAGAATTCAAGGATTAGGCCCACAAAAGAGATTTCAATAATGACAACCAGAACACGGATTCAAGAGCAGATATAACCGGGTGTCAAGATCTAGCACCCCAAGTAACACGAATTACTTAACAGAATAATCAATAGTGGGGATCAGGATACTTAGAAGATTGTTGTCTTCTAATTAAAAATGCAAACAAAAATCAAAGCAGCCAGATAAAAGAACCATTTCTCTTGGAACAAAACTCTAGGGCATCAGGTATTTCAAAGACTCCGTAGCCCATGGAGGCTAAGTAGATTTACAATCAAGTCATCCTAGACATCTTAGAGTCAAGTCAAAGCTAAGACATGAAGAATACAGAGATTAACACTTGCAAGAGACAAGAATTATAATGCCTCATATAGGTATTTTCTAATAATCATCACCCCTCCTAAAGAGGTGTCTACATGCAGTTCAAAATCAGAGGTATCAATAGGTAAGGCTCGTTTCAAAGCATAAGATTGAGTTATAAAAGAGTGCGATGCATTTGATCCTTATGGCCACCCCTCGGGCGCCCACGTCGTTTTGGAGCCATCTATAACCACATAAAAGGTTCATAGACTATTAATCAAGTGCTCCAAATTAGGGTTTCCCAGCAAGTTTCCACTTCCGGGACTAAACCTCATAATTAAATCCAACGCACATTAAAGAAAGAATCAAACAAGTGCCCTTAATCAACCCCACTCTCATACCTCACCACGTTCCTATAATCCATTGGCTAGCCAAGTTCTAAACAAATCCTAGGTATTTAATTTAACCTAGGCTCTGATACCACAAAATCTGTCACGCCCCAAAACCAGAAGTGAAACAGACGCCATGCACTCGTGAACAAGTCCCACAAATGCACAAGGCTCAGAACTTATTGTGTTCATAATTACCAATTTACATAACTTAAATCAGAAAACTTGGTTAATAACTAGCTTTCAGTTACCAAAAATTTGCTAGTCCGGATGTATAAAAGTTTATAAAACAGTCATGGCTATAACCAAGGAAACTCAGTACACAAAAAAATGATTTATCAGTTCACATCTATGTCAAACATGTGTGGCTAACGGCCGAAGTCCAAAAAGGATCTAAGTCCAAAATATTGACTAACCGTCTAGCTCGTCACTCCCCCTAGTTAACCGTGTCTCGGGTCTTACTACCTGAAATGGTGGACAAGGAAAACTATGAGATAAAATATCTCAGTAAGTAAAATATGGATAGCCCGCGGGTAAAATTTAAGCATGCCTGATAAACAAGGTAAACATAACAAAACGTTTAATGATAAACCATTCTTGCATAATAAAATTCAATAGTAGTCTCATCTATAAGTCATGGCCAGTGTTTAACAAACTCCCACTGGCAGGCGTAAGTAATAACCAGTGTTTAACAACTCCCATTGGCAGGCGTCAGTAATAACCAATGTATTGTCACATTGGTAAGATTACAGAATGAACCGATCCTATCGGTAAACATGTTGACATGTGCTAACGTTTGCAAACTCTAACTAGCGGGTGTTAGTAATCAATAATCATGACTATATCAAAGACAAAACCATACAGGATTTATAGGAAAAATCCGTAATTCACAATCAATCTCAAATTCAAAGAATAAACCGAAAAAATTCCATGTGGGCATGGATTTAATAGGAAAATCATAATTTACAAAAATTGTCAAATTATCAGAAAAGTTAAGTAAATTCCAAGTATGCATGCTCTACTTAATGAAAATGATAATAATTCCATTTCAAACCAATGATGCTTGGTGCTAATAAAATTAATTTAAACCTTACCACAATCTCAAAAACAATTTAAAATATGTTTTTACTTTGAAATCAAAGAGCGTTACCATAATTTACTTACCTCAGTCACATAACACAGAAAATTTATTCCAAGTGCTGGGGCAACAGAACAATCAAGAACCTAACCAAAATATTCCAAAATTAATAACCATATGACCATATATCCCAAATTTATTCTCAGTATAAACTAAACATTTAAACCCTCCTATTATGGGCCATTAGTGCATGAACAGGAATTCATGAACAGTAATTATGTAGTGAACAGTAACTACAACTTCTAGAAATTGGTAAAACAACAGCCAATTTCACAAGATTTTTCTCCAGAACCTCATAGTAGCTAATTAACACTCAATCACATAAATTCTACTTGAATTAATGCTTAAATTGTCTTAATTGCTATCGGAATTCCTCCCCCTTTTCAACAAAAATTCAGACAACATAGGGTAGCAATCAACTGGACTAAATTCAGCAACTAACAGTATTTTGGACTTAGATAGAGCTATCACATAGCAAAATTTAGCAAGCAAAACCGGAGCTGGCGGGTTTGGGGGAGAGCCGACAGGAAGTGCAGAAAATTTTGGGGATCTACCAAAAATTGGAGAAATCAAAAGAAATTAAAGCAAACCCAAGCCAATTCAAAGAAGCACAGAGAAATTGGTGGCTGTTTCCCTTTACCAGAAACCGGAGAAAATCACCCCCACACATCAGAGCAACGAACAGAAGGAACAGGGTAGAGCATATCTGGAAATTTCTACAAAGGGGGAAGATTTCAAGGCTTCAAATCTTGTTCTTGAACAAGAAAAGGAAGGAAAAAAATCAAGTTTTTCTTACCGGTTCTCAAGGGAGGTGCAGTTGGTGGCCAGGGCTCTTTGCCGGCTGCGGAGGAGCAGAAGAAGAGCAGGACGCGTGGATAAGGAAGAAGAAAGAAAGAAAAAAAATCGGCCATCTTTATCTTAATTTCTTTCCTTTTTTAAGTCCCTCAAGTTTAGAAATTTTTGCCATTAAGCTCAACAATATTATTTCTTCACAATTAATCCCCTAACTAAATGCTAAATATAAGAAAATTTGGGATATTACAGTCACCTTGATCACGTTTTGCATCTATGCATCTATTTGGGTTTTGGCACCAGTCTAGGAAAGAGTAGGGCCACTTTTCAGACTTTCCACTTAACCAAAAATAAGAATGACATTGAATCATCTTGAGCATGCTCTCTTTTGTTGCTCTACCTTCTCCACAAATAGCATCATTCCTTGCTAGCCAGATTGACCAAACAGTTGCGTACCAGATTACTTGCCATCCTTTTTTGTTCTTTGCCACCCAAAAATGTTGAATGAAGGCTTCCCTACAATTGTTGTGTAAAACATAACAGATGCCCCACCATTCAAAGCATTTGGACCATATTTTATAGGAGAAATCACACTTCATTATTAAGTGATCTGCATCTTCAATCTTATCATCACAAAACACACACTTTGCCTCCGTAGCTTCCTTGATTACTTTCCTTCTCAGTAGGTTTTCTTTACTTGGGATTTGGTTCTACAGTAGTGGCCAAGTGAAGGAGCAGACTTTGTTTGGCACCATCTTGTTCCAACATTTCTTGAGAATTTTTACGCAGTCGTTTGTCTCACATGATAAGAGTAACTTATAGGCTAATCTTGCAGAGTATTGTTCATTTTTTTCATGAATCCAGCTCCAGCTATCCTTCTTTGCTATCCGTGGTTGTTTATAGCTTAGTATCTAATGTAGGTGTTCCACTTGGTTTTCCTCCTATGAGTGTAGTTCCCTCTTCCAGCGTAAATTCCAACTCCATAGGCTTCCATTCCAGTGGCCTATATGTTGCACAGAGTTCCATTTATCTGTACACAAAGAAAAAAGTTTTGGGAACAAGTCCCTCAAGCTGTTATCTCCAGTGCACCTATCAAGCCAAAAAGACATATTTGCACCATCCCCTAATTTGATTTTAAGCCCCTCATTAAACCAACCCACTTGTTCATCTAGCATCCAATTTATGCTACTGATGTCTCTCCACCATCGTGATCCACCCTCACTTCCCTCTTTCATCCAACTTCCCCAATTTCTCTCCCCCCTATTGTATTTGGCTCTCAAGACTTTGGCCCATAACCCTCACTCATATTTGCAAGTCTACCCCACCATTTTCCTAATAATGCTATATTGAATAGCCTAAGGTTCTTTATTCCTAGCCCTCCAAATTCTTTGCTCTTGCATACATTGTCCCACCTAACCCATGTTATCTTTTTTACCAACTCATAACCACCCCCCCAAAGGAATGCCTGTCTAATTGAGTCAATCTTTTTTATCACACCTACAGGGATCAAGTAAGCAGACATTAAGAACACAAGAAGACTACTTAGCATAGAGTTGATGCAGACAATTCTACTACCATAGATAAATATCTGTGCTTCCAGTTGGATAGTTTTTTCTCAAACCTCTCCACTAGTGGAGACCATGTACTTCTTCTCGTTATATGAGCACCGATCGACATTCCCAGGTAGTGTAGTGGGAGCTTTCCAGCTTTACAATGCAAAAAGTAGGCTAGGCGATTAGTTTCCTCCTCATTTATATTCAAGCCAATTAAAAGACTTTTGTTATAGTTTATTTTAAGGCCTGAAACTAGTTCAAAGGTCCTTAAAATGCTTTTGACTGCTTTGATGTTCTACTCATTTGCCTCTCCAAATAAGATTATATCATCCGCAAACTGCAAGTGAGACACAATTAATTCACAAGATCCGACAAGCACTCCTTGGAACAGATTTTTTGAGATAGTAGAATTGATGATGCCATTCAATCCTTCAACAACAATGAGGAAAAGGAAAGGGGATATGGGATCCCCTATCTAAGACCTTTGCTGACATTAAACTCTTTTGTCGCGTTCCCATTAATCAAGACTGAAACTATATTGGAGCTTAGACACTCTTTGATCCACCTTCACCATACCACATCGAAACCCATACGGTTTATCATGTAATCTAGAAAATCCTGGGAAACTTTATCAAAGGCCTTCTCAAAATCAGCTTTAAAAATAAAACACCTTCTTTTCTTCTTTATATCATCAATGATTTCATTAGCCACAATAACTCTATCAACTAACTGTCTTCCAGCAAATAAAGCAGACTGATTTTCACCAATTAGATTGTCAATCACCTTGCTTAGCCTATTGGCTAACAACTTTGCTATGAGCTTGTACCTACACCCAATTAAAGATATGGGTCTATAATCTTCAATTCTGATGGGGTTTTCTTTTTTTTTGGAATGGGAATGATAAAGGAAGCGTTTGAGCCCCTTACTAACTTCCCATTTTTTTGGAAATCAGCTACAAAATCACAGATTTCTATCTTCACATCATCCCATATAAACTTCAAAAATCCAAAGTTAAATCCATCCGACTCGTGGGCTTTAGAACTGTCACAAGCCCATATTGTATTCTTGATTTCCTCCTCAATGAACTGTGTGGTTAACATGGCATTTTGTTCTATTGATAATTTGTTGAAATCGATGCCATCCAGTCTTGGTCTTAACCATTCTTCCTCTCTAAATTGTTGTTGAAAATACTTTGCCACCCCTTGCTTTAGATCCTTAACATTATTAAGCTGAACACCATTGATTTCTAGGCAATTAATTTCATTATGCCTCCATCTTCCTCTGATGTTATGATGGAAAAAACTTGTGTTAGCATCTCCATCTTTTATCCATTGAATTTTGGATTTTTGTTTGAGCATGCTCTTTTTATTATGAAGATTTCTCCATAGGTCCATGGTACCTTGCCTCATTAGTTCCATTTCATCATTTGAGGCGTGAATGTTTCCCCTTTCTTATTTAGTTCAACAATCATTCCTTTGCAGTTCTCAATCTTCTTGTCTAATTCACCACAATTCTTCTTACTCCAGTTCTTCAAAAATAACTTGGTTTCCTTCAGCTTCTCTTTTAGGATGTACCCGCCCCAGCCTTGCACCTCAATGGACTTCCATAGTTTTGCAACCTCCGCCTTGAAGTCTGTATGTTGTAACCATGTGTTGAAAAAGCGAAAAGGTTTGGGGCCCCAATTCTTCACCTCATTTTTCAACAAAACAGGACAGTGATCAGAGATGTCTCTCTTCAAGCCCCATTGCTTCATATCTTCCTAAGTTAGAACCCAATTTTCTGATAGCAAGAATCTATCTAATTGACTCATAGCATTGCCATTTGGTTGACACTATGTATATCTTCTCCCAATCATTGGTAGATCGATCAAAGCAGTGGTCTTAAGAAAATTCGCAAACCCAACCATCTCTGTCAGCACTCCTCTACATCCCTTTCTCTCATCTTGTGATCTGGTAACATTGAAATCTCCCTCTATGCACCACTTCCCATTATTGTTAGTAATCAAGCATGCCAAATCCTCCCATAATTTTTTCTTCCCAGAACAATCACAAGGAGAGTAAACATTTACAATGTAGCAATGTTCCATATTAGAACCCCACCCTCCGAGAACACCCAGTTAACCAGCCCCGTGAAATGAACTTTCCAATTTGAAAGCTTCTTTATTCTAGACACATACTAAACCCCCTGATCTACCATTTGATTCCTGAGCTACCCAATCAAAATTATCAGTACCCCACAAATCTCTACAGATGTTTTTATCAAATTTCTCTAGTTTTGTTTCTTGAAGCAATAAAAAATCTACTTTTTCTTTCACAACTAACTTTCTTATTTCTCTGCTTTTCCACCCACCCCCGATGCCCCTTATGTTATAAGACAATAAAATCATTGTACAATACCTTCCCATTCAATTCCATTCCTCTGTTTCCCGGATGGATTGACCCTATGATGCTGCTTGTCTTGCGCCTCCATCTGTTCCAATCTTCTTAGAATTTCCTCCTCTTTTCCTGTTGCCACAACCCTGACCGACTTGGCGAATTCCCAGATCTTTTTGGCACCGAAGGCATTAATCTTCTTCATAATAGATTTGTTGCAGTTGTGTATATTGCTATCATTCAGAGAGCCATCTGCCACCCCATTGTTGGAATTTGCCAAAAATTCTGGTACAGAGGATTTGGATGCCAATTCCTTTCTAGGTCTACCTCTTCTATTTCTTCTTGGAGCTGCCAAAATTAATTTGGATGCCTTATACACTGATACACATGATTTGAATTTCCTGCTCCTCTTCCTTGATTTGTTCCTTTCTCTTATGCCCATCCATTCTTGAATAGCACCGGAGTCACTATCCATGCCCTGTAGGAAGGAACGCAGCTCTCTGCTTGGAGAAAGTCTGCTGTATCCCAGAGATACAGCAGACTTTCTCCTCTGCTTGCCACCAAGTCTTCTTCCTCTTTTCCATTTTCTGTCATCATATCATTAATCATGGGATTTTTTATGGTAGGCCCAAATGAGGCCTGATTAGAAGCTTGATCTTCACTTTCAGCATTGTTTGTGTTAGGCCCATATTTATGACCCAATATAGAGGCTCCCATGTACTCTACAGGCTCCCCCCTTTCTTGATATCCAGCTGGCTCAACAGTAACTTCAATTAATTTCACCGTCTTATTTTTTAATTTTATGTATAAGTTTTATTTAACTTATACTTTATTGAAAGATAGATTAAAGATACAACAAATTTATCTTTTTATAATTAATTTACATAATAAAAAAGTAGTTTTTACTTTTTAGGTTAGTTTAAAGTTTTAAAATACTTGACTATTGAAATTATTAAAATGTTCTTAATGAAACATTTTTTTGGTCTATTAATTAAGGGTAATTTAGTAATTTTTGAGTTGGGACTGCACTTTTGATGTGCAATTCAAATTGAAATACATAAATATTTTTACATAAAAAATTATAAAAATTAATATTTATTTTAACACCACTCACATTGAATAATTTTAATTGGTTAATTAATTTAATTAAAGCCAAAATTTACATTTTTATGCAAATTAATTGTAAAAGAATGCACCCTCAACATGTGCCCTATAAGCATAATGTAGAAAAATTATTATTTATATAAGATCTTAAATGCTATAACTCACACTGTTTTAGAATAATACACCTTTTTATTAATTTTTTTTTCAAATTAAAAATTTAATGATCTTTTATTATAAGAAAATAAATAATTAAAGTCAAGAGATAATGATAAAATTAAAGTAGAAAAAAAAAAATTTCTTTAAAATGTAAAAAATGACTAGAGACAAATTCTAAATAAAAACCTTTATTATTGTGAGACAAATGAAGTATTTTAATTTAGGGTGCATTTGGGATTGTGGTTAGAAGCTTTCTCATGTAGCCACACAACAGTTTTAGATATACATGTGTTTGGTGATTTTTTTTCAAATTGTTTTTTTTTTTAACTACAGAAAGCCACAACAGATCTATATTAATTTTATGTATAAAACCAAAAGCCTCATTTTGAAGATTTCTAACTATGCCTTTTATGTTAAAAACACCTAATATTTAATATAATTATAAAATTACTCATTAAAACTCAATTTCATATAATTTAATTACATCATAATTTATAATACTTTAATAATTAAAAAATTTTAAAAAACCTAAATTATTAAAAAATAATAAATATTATATATTTTAATAATTATATATCTTACAATATTTTTAAAATTTTAATTAATAATTAATAAAATCTATCATATTTTATCTATAATACTTTAAAAAAAAATCAAACATAAAAATAATTTTCAGCTATAGTTATAGTACAGTACAGTCACAACTAAGCACAATCATAGCTACAACTACAGCACTTCACAGCAATTCCACACGCATCATTAGTCTATTTAATTATAAAAATGATAGGATTTTTATTAGGAATAAATATGTTATTTTAACACCTAATTATAGAGTTTTAATTAATATGGTCTAAATACAATGTGAAATTAAAAAATGAGATAACTAACGAGAAAATGTGCAGATAAAAATACAAATCTTGTTTTTTTTTTTTTTTTCTATTTAAGGATTTGAATTTTACTAGTTTCTAAATAAAGCAGTAAATATTCAATTTTTTTTTATTTAAGAATACTAACTTTGCATTTTTCTATTTAAAGATTAATTAGATAACTAAAAAAAGTTATTTATTACATTAGCATCACTATTCAATTAATCCTTAAATAGAAAAAACACAAAATTCACATCCTTAAATAGAAAAAATTGAAAGTTTATTGTGATATTTAGAAATCAATAAAGTTTACATTCTTAAATAGGAAAAAATAACAAAATGTGTATCTTTATCTGTACTTTTCTCAACAACTAATAAAATGGAATGGAGGGAACACCACTCGCAATAGTAATGTTATAATTATAATGCCACATAAAATTATAAATTTACAATCATGATGTGACATTAAATAATGTGTATAACATATAATTAAATAAGTAGATATATATAATATTATAAATTGATCTTTGAATGAAAAAAGTTAATTATATAATGATATATGATATTATAAATTTATAATATGGCATTAAATTAATATAACATGATATTAAACAAGTGAATGCATATAATATCACAGATAAACCCTTGAATGAAAAAAGTTAATTATATAATGATATATGATATTATAAATTTATAATATTACATAATATTATAACTATATCTTTTTCATCACTTGCAAACCACATATCCCAAAATTATACATTTTAATCCCTAATCAATATTAACTCCCTTTGCTTCCTTGTAGTTTATAGTTAGCGGTTAGACCTGATGTCCTTAAATCCTTGTCGCCTGAAATTATAGTTAGCCAGGCCCAACTTACAATCTTCAGACCTTAGGGTCCACCTTTAAGAATTCTGCAATGCCTCCCACCGACCTGTCCAATTGATTTGGTTTGGGCCTAACAACCTACCCTAAGGCCTCTGCAGACTGCAGGAGCACGGAAACATCCCCATAAGCTATTTTAAAGTTATTTTAAAATATGTACCAAAAAAAAGTTATTTTAAAATTAAAATTTTAAAATTTTGTCTAATAAAATTTTAAATTTGTGAAGGAAAAACTTACTTTTAAAACAATTGTATTTTAAGCTTTATCAAATATCCTTAATGTATAAGATCCCCTTTTGTTTTTCTTTGTCTTTTTGAGATAATAGAGCACTTGATTTTTGTTGCATTGTAGTTTTGGGTTGAAGATTCGGACCTTAATTAACATTCCTTAACCCCAATTATTTCCCTCGTTTGACCCAGCTGTATTGTCCCCACTAAACCATTTTAAGCTTAGAGCAACAACGCTGGAACCACGAAAGTTCCGCACATCCGGCGGCAGGCTACGGTTACCGTGTATATTTGCAGCGAAAGCATCCAATGGGAATTAACCACGATACTGGATATTATATTGTATAATAATCCTCTTTCTTGTCTTTCTTTTCCATGTTACTCGAACACGTGTATCATATTTTTACGTCAACGCGATTAATCGGAACCAACACGGTTCTTTTTTTTCGGGTGGTGTGGTAGCATGAAATTAAAGCTGCTATATGCCTCTTCGCAAGAGCCAAGGGCTGACCCTACGGGGTTTTTGAAAGTGCTTGACGGGTGCAAGAGGCAAGGAGTACAGCTGATGGAAAGTTGTCTCGTATATATATATATACATATATATATATATATAAGATATTTGATATACACCATAAGATATATTTATTAAAAAATTATTATTTTTTAATTTAAAATTAAAAATAAATAAATTTAAAGTTATAATTATATATATAATATAAAAATTAATTAAATTAAATATATTTATATTATATATTAATAACTAAATTTGAATAAATGTTAAAAATGCATTAAACTGAGTGTATAACAATTATTTTCCATATATATAATGCATGCAATGTTAATTCGCGTAAGAGACTTATATTTTACAATTTGATACAGTTACTATATTAATTAAAAGGAGTTTTTTGATATTGAAACTTGGCTTTTTATTTAATAACTAGTATTTTACAATCCAATACAATTTAAACTGTAAAATATTTTTTATCATTTGCATAATATATATTAATAATGTAAGGGTTAAAAAACCTCTTGAATTTATATGAATAAAATTAATTTATTTTTCCGCCCAAAACAAACCTCTTGTATTAAACATTTTATAAAAGCCTTGGCGAGGCTAAAAATGCTAACAATTCCATGACATGTTGACTTCCTAAAGCAGATGCTTACAATTTTTCACTTGGGTACTCGGAAGTATAATTAATGGGTACTCTAAAAAAATTTAAGAAAATGTGTTTTATTAGTAGGAAGTATAATGCGTATTCTACACCAAAATAAATTCAATACATCGATCCACAATACCAACCAAAACTGATCACAAAGTCAACTCTGGAACTCCAACATACTGTTAAAAAGAAAAAAAAAAGAAAGAAAAAAGCAAAAGACGGAATGGTATAAATGAAGAAAGAACACTTTGCCATTCTGTCGCAAAGTGCTTAAATGAAGAAAACATAACGTTCTAGCTATGTGTTCACTTTGTCACTTATTTTTTTATCATACTACACTAATTTCAAATTGCTTGACTGCCGAATGAACGCTACTTCCCATACCTAAAAAAAAAAAAAAAAAACGGAATCGAAATCTTTGTTACTTAAGAATAAAAAAATATTTTTTTATCAATCTAACCAATACATTATAAAGAAATATAAGAAATACTCCATCACAAAAATATATAATCATGAATAAAGTTTCAAAACATCAACTTTACAAGAAAATTAATTAATAAAATGCTGTTCAATAAACCCAAAAATAAAAATCAATTCATACCTTTCTTCAGCAATCTGTAACTCTTCGAACATCTTTGATATTGAGTAATAATTTATATACCCCTTGATTTTCAGTCTTAATAGGAAACACACAACCTAATCTTTTATTTTTAAGCCATAGAAACTTAAGAAGAAAAATTAATTAACAAGAATCTTCATCCTTAATCAATTAAGCCATTTTGAGCGATATGCTTTTGGATTTCTTATATAGATCATCTTCATTATCCGTATGTACTCTTCTTCTTCAATCCCATTAACCTCCAGTAAGTTCTTCATTACTGCATCGATAGCCGCCGTTAAGAATTCCGACCAATCCCTATAATACAAAATGAAAAATCATCAATATAGAGAAGTTTTATAAATTCCATATATCGTTTCTTCGGTAGGGGCCGTACTAACCCTTTCAATGTGTCGTATGTGACACCGACGGTG